ATTATATATATTTATAAAATTAATTTAAAAAAAAAATTTTTTAAAAATTTTAATTTTTCATAAAAGTAAATTAGAAGAGAATTTATAGTAAATAAGTAGGCAAATTTGCCTGTGAACCTCTATAGTTTAAGGGATAAAAAAAATTCAAACAATTAATATTTTTTCAATTTTTAAAAAATCTTGAAATTTATAATGTATTTCATCTAGGTCTATATTATTTTATGCTAAGAATTTTTTTGGAAAAATCTTTTTATTAAAGTAATATTTATCTATTTCTATTTCTAATTTACATATTTTTTTATTGTTACATGCTATACATGCTATTTGCTAATCAATAATTTTCCTTATTTTTTACTACTTGCTTTCTTGTTATTTTGCAAGATATACTTTATATTAGCTAAGCATCTTATTTTTTTTGATTTTATACTTACAAAGAGTATTTTAACTTATAACTATATTATTTATTATATATACTAAAGAAAAACTCGATTAGTTAGCTTATATTTAGTTTTTTTAAATCAAATATCATATAGTATAATCAACATATATATTTTAGAAGCATTTATAATTATCAAATTAATTTTTTATTAATTTTTAATTAGTATATATTCAACTATATTCTATAACATTTATTGTTAAATACTTAATTATTAAATATTTTATTATTATAAATTTTGATTAAAAAATTTCTAATACAATAGTAATAAACACTTTTCTTAATAAGTAAATTTAATTACATTAAAAGTTATAATTAATTATGCTATTTTTTTAATTATAATACATATATTCAATCTTAATATAATTAATATAATTTTAAATATAAGTTTATATTCCAAATAATATAAATGTTAAAGATAAATAAAATTAGAATAAATATTATAAATATAATATAATTATAAAAAAATTATATTATAAAATTTTCAAAATGGATTTATAGGAATATAATATTGTAATTATTATTTTAATTATTAAAACAGTAATAATATAATCAACTATATAAATTGATTAACAAAATAGTTCATTATAATTATAATTGTATTATTAACAAAAATAGCATATTATGATTTTTACAATAAATAAATAAACCAATAATCCGCAATTAATGTCATTCATAAGTCACTGATTTTTTTGTCGGTCTTATTTTTTTAACAAATAACGTTGAGTAAATCTTGAAAACATTTCTTTCACATACCGTGCGGTTATCTCCTTTTACCCTTTATATTTTTCACTGAATACGTTAATCCACCTTAGTTTCCAAGTTCACTCTAAGTACTCTTTTCATCATGTCGTCCACAGGTTTAGACATGTCTCTTGATGAAATTATTGCGAAAAAAAGACCATCAAGAGGAGCTAGGACAGGTGGTCCTACCCGCACCGGTGGCATCGTTAAACGTTCTAGTGGTCCTGTCAGAAATCCTCGGTCTCCACAAGTTAGACCTCGACCTTACAGTAATACTGCTACTACAACATCAAATCTTAACGCATCACCAGAAGGAAAAATTCTTGTTTCAAACCTCGCCTATAAAGTCACAGAGGCAGATCTTTGGGTAACTATTATATAAAATGTCCAATACTTTACAAACTGTTGACGGTTGTGCGACAGAGAGAGACAGCAGAAAAAAATCAGAAAGAGGCGAATAGTTTCTTTTTTTTTTGGTGCCAAAGCTGGGGTTTACCGTCAACAATAAACCTGAAGCGAAAAGGCAACCCTTGTACGAATTAATTATCGTCAACGGCCCTTCTTCGCCATCTGGCTTTGGAGCCTGGAGATTCTGAAATCTTTTCTACAACGCTCTCCAAGCCGATCAACGATGTTACTCCTACTGAAAAACAAACCACCTGATCGCAAACAAAACACTCTCCATACACATACGCACTTCGACTTCCTTTATCCCTTCACAACACCAGGAACTTTTCTCAACGATGATCGGTCCTGTACGTCAAGTTAACCTTAACTTTGATCAAAGTGGTCGTTCGAAGGGTACCGCATCCGTTGTTTTTGCAAGGAAAAACGACGCCGTACGGTCTGTTGATAAACTCAGAAATATTACCCTTGACGGTAAGCGTGATTGTTTAATCGCATAACATAAAATTAATTCTTTAATTTAATATAAGTAGGTCGTGAAATGAAGATTGAAATTGTCGTTGCTCCTAATGCTGGTCCAATTACTCAGCGTATTGGTGGAATCAATGAGTAAGTAAAAAAAGGTTAGAAATATTGGAAATTTTTTTTTATTCGTTTTAACGTTTGTTCTTGTTCTTTATTTATAAATCAAAGATCTCGTCCATCCACACGTGGTACTGGAGGAAGTCGTGGCACTTCCACAAGAGGTCGAGGTCGCGGAAGTCGCAGAGCTGATAATAGACCAAAAAAGACACAAGAAGAATTGGATGCTGAGATGAGCGAATATATGCAGATTGATGAGGTGATAAATTAATGCTGTTTTCCTTAATCGTATAGTAATT